TAGACCAAAGTCTTATCAAAAAATATTGTAACTTAGGATATCAGCAAACATGAACTACAACTATGTACTATATTATCAAAGTAATGATAATACTTTATATAGGTATTGTTAATTTGTATAGTGATACATATTTAATAAAATTTATAATATATTTTTTTATGTGATTACTGGTTTTTAGGATAAGATACATATATATATACGTATCTATTTGTTAAATATTGTCTCCAAAATTGAAACCATTGAAAAACACTCAATATATACATATGTTTGTTTATTATTTTGAAATATTAGATGTTGTATTACTGTCTAATAAAAGCAATACATATAGAATCTGAAAAATCTATGTATATTATAAAGCTTTTTGGTTTAGTAACCTACTACAAAGTTATGCCCAAATGTACAACAGATTTTGTTTTATTAAAATTTTACAATAGAATATTTAAATCGATTATTATTAATCTTAATAAAATTTTTGTATAAGTTAGTAATATTTCAAGTTTGTAGAAAATCGACCTTGTAAGTATAGTCAAAGACTAATTAAAATCCAGTAGTTGATTTAAATTTAGGATTAATTAAAATATTGTATGTGATAAGTGTGTAAATTGATAACGATAATAGACATCTATGATGTAAACAAGCCAATCAGAAAATATAATATATGTTGAATTACTTATCAGATTATAACTCAATATAAAAATATTTATTATTAAACATGGAAGAAATATTGTTTGCTAATATAAATTATAATAAAATTAATCAAATAAAACTTTCTATCTTAGATTAAGACAATTAATATGATTATATATAATAAACAGGAGCTATAACATAAATAATAAAGAAATAAAAATGAAATACGAATCATCAAGGACAGAATTTAGAACTGGGTCTATAAACAAAATTAAACCTGTTTGAACCTTTAATTAGGGAATATCCAAATACCAAATAATTATCACCTTTATGATAGGCATTTCAGGTTTAATTTATTTTTTAAGCCCTTTGTGAGTTTGTAATTGAATTATAATTATATTAGTTGAATTAGTATCCTTAGCATTAGTAAAATTATATTGAATCATGAATGTTATATATTTCTTTAATTACTTATAATGAAATTTAATTATTATTTTTATATTGTTCATTTCTTGATTCTTTGCTACTACTTTGCAAAGTTAATGTTGGAAAGTTATATGTATGAAAATCCCAAGCTTCATTAAATTTTGAATAGACCTCCATATTGTATATTTCTAATTTATTCTGAATCTTAGTATCTTGAAGTAATGTGAGTTCAATTTCTGTATTACACGCTTGTTTAATATTTTTATTCTGGCTGTAATCAAAAAAACAAGCAGGTGGTATCTCATAACTGAATCTAAAATTAACATCAAATTCTGAACTACCCTCTATAACACGCACTTTATAACTGTCTAAAATCTTTGATGATTAACTTGTTGAATATAAAAGAGAAATAGGTGCCCTTATCATTGACAAGACACTTTTAGCTGATCTAAAATTAAAGCTATTAATTGGGTAATCCAATTCTTAAACATATTCCATATCATTCATTATTTCATCTAAAGCTGTCAAAGGATGACATGTAGGCTTAATCATCTTGGACATTTTTTTGTAATTAGCAAATTCATTCTCAAGACTGCATACATTTGATGTGCTATCAGTTATCATATTGCAAAAGGCTTCCAAACTTATGCTTTTATTATTAAAAATGTTATTGATGGTATCATTTGTCGAACTATTACTAGTGACTAGTCTCTTACTACAATGATGTTTCTCATAAAGCTTTGTCAATTTTTTCTCAGCAACACAAATATAATCTTTAATAACAATTTTAGAAGCTCTGGGTCTATTTATCTTACTGTAATATTTTTTAAAGGGAATATTTTTATGGCACTATAGTGCCACAGTACTAGAGCATTATAGCCAATCAAAATTGAAGATCAGATGTAATGTATAGATCAGCTTTGTGTACCAAACAAAGAATTTTTTAAAAAATCAATTATATCTTAAAATTTTGTCTATAAAACTGCCTTTTGGCTCTAACAAAAAAATTCTTTGCACAATTTTACTTTAGTTTTTGTTTAACCCCAATATCAGGATCTCACCCTTACTCTAATATTAAAAAAAAACCAAATTTTACTTTATTATATATAATATAGTGCCATGACACTATAGTGCTGCAAAAGTATTTTCTTTTTTAAATTCTCTTTTAAATTCTTTTGGTAATTGTTTCTAGATACAAGAAGAAAAGTTTAGAAATAATTCTATTTTTAATATTTTGATTTCACTCAATAACTCTTTTTTGTAAGCAAAATTTTTGTATATGTGCACAAAATAAAAAAATAGAGAACCATTTTTATAAAAATAAGTCTCGAGAGGTGAAAATTCTATGTTGCAAGGTACACCTTGATAAATGAAGGTAACTGACAACTTTTCAGCATTTTTCTTTGAAAAAATAAGTCTAATAATATTGCTATTTGTGTTATTTGGCATTAATGTTTTGATTTTGATATTAAGAATGTAAATCACATAAATTGGCTTATGAAACCACCTTTTGTGTTTTAACAAAAAAAAATTCTTGCAAAATTTTGGTTATAATTACAATCTAACCTAACCCTACATTAGTACTAACCTTTACCTAAATTAATGCATTGTTGATTTTACGTCTTATGGGTTGTGTTTCAACGCAGGTGCATCAAATGATAAAATTCTTTTTAAAAAAATAGGTTAGTTTTATTTTAAATATTCAATATATTTAGTGAAAATAAAGAAAATTAGACTCAAAACTAGTTTATACGTATAAAATTATCTC